GGACGATGCTGCACATTTAGTCGTATAGAGCAGCGCGTGCTCTCGCCAAAGCCGGGTGGAGCGAATACATTGATAGCAGGGCTAGTGGTACTTGTTGGCAGTGTCAAAGTTGGTGTTTCAGCGGGTGGCTATACTGCATTGTATGAACATCTCACTTGCCAATTAGTTGCTTCTTCGCGGTTTAAGCTTGAAGAGAGGGAGGCGGAGTTAGTGGCAGAGTGGGCATGTGAAGCAAAGCTTCAAGAGATTTGGTACTCCTTATCCATATTTCACCAACGCAAGCAGGCAGGCAGACAGCCAACCGACCGACCAGCAGACAGACAGTCAGGCAGGCAGACAGACAGAGAGACATCCACACGCGCGCCCGCACGCGCACGCGCACGCACGCACACGCACGGACACGCACACAAGCACGCACGCACACACGCACGCACGCACGCACGCACCTACGCACACGCACACGCACACGCACCACCCCCCAACCAAAGCACACACACACACAGACACACGCACACACACACACACACATAGAGACACAGACACACACACACAGAGACAGAGAGAGAGAGACACACACACACACAGAGACACACACACACACGCACACACGCACACAGACACAGACACACGCACACACACACAGAGACACACACACACACACGCACACAGACACAGACACACGCACACACACACACACACACTGACACACACACACACACACAGAGACACAGACACACACACACACAGAGACAGAGAGAGACACACACACACACACAGACACACTCACACACACACACGCACACAGACACAGACACACGCACACACACACACACAGACACACACACACACACACACACACACTCGCACACACACACACACAAAGAGGCAAGCGCACAGACACAGAGACAGGCAAACCGACAGACGGGCACACACACACACAGACACACCGACCGACATCGGCGCGAATATCATAATACGGTAATAACTTGCATCTACATGGGAGGATAAAGGCTCTGCCCTATGGGATACAGACCTACTTCTGTAGATCCGCCGTAGATGCAACCATTTCTGCCAACCACAATCCGGTTGGTTCGCAGAGTTGCTTGAGGCGCTAATCATGACTGGCCAAACAACGTTCAGCCAAAGCATCGTCTAGCAGCAGAGCATTCTGCAACCAGGCATCGGCTGGTCGCTGCTTGTTGTGTTCTGCGGCGGGCAAGTAGCAGAGCTGGAGCACCATTGAACCGATAGGTTTGGCCAGGTGACAGCTGTTTGCACCACTAAAGATGCCTTTTGACAGGTGAGTGGTTTAGTGCAGGAAATCACTGCCGAAGGCAGCTGAGATCGGAATCGGAATCCCGGTCCATTTGATGACCTGGTGCTGCCAAGGCGTTGGAGGGCAGAGGGCTGAAGATTTGAAGCACGCCGTCCACGCCGGGATCAGAGCCTCACTCACAATACTCACACTGCCAGCCGTGGCAGTGTGGCTAGCCACTTGTTGTTGCAACCACAGACCTTGACTTGAGGTCAGCATGACACAGGGCCGCCCTTTGGTCTCAGCGTGGACCAGAATTCGCGGCAACGCCGAAGATTTGAGAAGACGTGCAGTTCCCGTGTCGGTTTTCATGTAGGTTCGGGCTGGGGGACCCGCGTCCAGTAGCACGGGGATTCAGAAATCTTGGTTGTTTCATTTGGGCAGCCGGTGCTGTTGTAAGACAATGCTGCGTGAAACGACACTACACCTGACAACGCCCATTCAGCGAGATTGGGACTGCAGTATCTGGCGCCTGCCCATTTTCCAAGAATTAGCTTGGGCAATCCGGATCTTCGATGGCAAAGTTTGACGTTGCAGCAGAGGCACAAATTAGCGCCGAGCGTGCTTCGCCACAATGTCCCGAGAACGATAGACCTATCACCACAGGTATGGAGTGAGAGTACAATGCAAAATAAGTTGCTGTATGTTGTGTGGGGTACGACAGGAAGATTCACCATGCCCTCCCCGGCAGACCGCCTCAAGTTCCCGTGCTTCTGCCCGCGCTGCCTCCGATAGAAGCTCGCAGCTGACATCCAAAAGCATCCAAAAGCCAAAGCCTCCTTCAGTTTGAACCTCTTGGACACGAAGCGTGTAGCAGGACACGAGTGTGCAGCAGTCCCTGCAAGAGTATTGTTGTACAATTGCCTAGGATAGTATCGAGCAGCTTTTGCGGGCTTGGAGCACAGGAGGCTGACATTTTCACGTAGGTAACCCGCCAGCGGACTATAGAAAAGACAAAGAGCGCCACTATTTATGCGGAATTTGCACTTCTCGATTATGGACCTTACTGATGTTTGGCTGGACATCTGTGGAGTACTGGCTGTGCTGCTTAGGACATCTTCTGTGTCAACGTAATATTAGCTGTGCCAGCATTCAGCAGTGGTTGCGTTGTACTGCAAGAAATGTGCGGCGAGGGGAGAGCTTCTGCCTGCTGTTGGATGTCGAGATATTTGGACACACCTATAATCCTGCGTTCTACGATGCTGGCGAGCTGCATGTTCTACGCGAGGTCAGAGCTTTGGGTGCATGGGTGCTGCACCGCACAACTTTGACGAGGCTGACAACAGGGTCAGACACCATGCCAAGTGTCGCTGCCCGCTTGGAATGCCTTTCCTGTTGCTAGCAAATTCATGTAGCTGTTGATGACCGGCGCGCCAATGATGAGGCTCGTGGTGATGATGTTGGTCATGATGGTAGGATGAAGATCGTGGTGTTGATGAGCGATCCTTCCGTTGCCCCCATGAGCATCTTCTGTTGTGATTGTTGTTGTTGTTGCTGCTGCTGCTGCAGCTGCTGCTTCTGTTGTGCATGTTCGTGAAGGCGGTACCTAGCTCCTTTGAAGTTCTGCACATATATGTAATGTATGTATGTATAGATAGATAGATAGTGTCCACATGTATATGTATAATCATGTGGTTAGCACCCCCACACGACGACGTTCTTGTTCGTGGGTGTCTACCTGCTTTGCAGATGTGTGGGCCCTCGCGGCTGCAATCTTTGCGGTTTTCTTCTCCTCGTTGTCGCGAGTTGACAAGAGATGGAAGCATCGTGGATCATAGTTATCTATCTAAAGTTTGAAATTTGAAGGTCCTCGCCTAAACAGCCGCAAAATTTCGAACACCGCTCAGACCCATCCTGCCGCCTTCAATTGAACGAAGACGGTAGACAGGCATTCGCTGCGGAGCTTCGTGGGCATCACATCCTTAAATGCGTTGCCTCTCGAATGCATGTAAGCACCTGAGTTTAGGGGACTTGGACGTGCGTGTTGTGTGTATGTGCGTATGTGTGTATGTGTGTATGTATGTATATGTATATGTATAATATGTAGATGTAGATGTAGATGTA